GGCTCAAACAACAGGAATTTGGGTTTGATTTACTCAAGTTTCACCTCTTCTGACCATCACAAAACTGCTACATTGGTCTGAACCAATGTTCAACTGAGATTATTTGGTAATATGACTCATCTGCCTGGATAAAATCAAACATGTTTATATTATAAAACCGGGATGATTCAGATTATTATGTCTGCGCCCAGAGTAGCAAAGCTGATGCCAAGCAGCTCAAAATTCCAGCCCTTGAGGCTTACATAAGCTACAATTATTAAAAGTGAGTTAAACTCTCACCTCCAGCTGCGTTGACCGCAACTCCCTAACCAGTTTCTCATCCAAACTCCTTCAGCCTTCTACTTTTGTTTTTCTCTCACTGCAAAGTATCACTACATTACAGCAAGTTGTTGCTCCACAGACTCCATTTTGTTTACATCTGTATCACCATGAGACCATGTGATTTGGCCCTCTGACACGATAATCTCAATAACATCCTGTAGTATGTGATGTACCATTATTTTTAAATCTTGTAAAATGTGCAAGAACATCAGTGAATTTCTCCTCATGTGTGTGATGCAACCAGATTTCAAATCTGTTAGGATTTTTAAACTCCTGCAGTGTGAGCCCGGCCTAAGTCCAACCTCAAGACAGTGAGAGTTACAGCCTGCGTCACATACTTTTTCTTTTTACTTATTAACTCTTTATGTGATGCCATTGCCCTTACAAATTATATTCTGTTGCATGCAGTATGCATACATTTGGGTTGTGCTAGTTTGTCAAAAATATTGTGCATTAGACTTGCTTATATAACTGTCACTGTCTGTATGGACATGACCTGTCATCTTTCTGTAGCTCTTGGCAGCTCAGTCTTATATATACTTTTATGAATCGTGTGACATATGTTTCACTGGGCAGAAGATTGTAGGTCAGAATGGCAAGAAAAACATTCTTGCTTGTAACCGCATGTAGTTGGACATGGTGGTATTTTTGACAAGCTTTCTTTGACATTCTGTGCTTTGGGACCAACTAAATCTTCATCTGGCATACTATAAAGAATGGCAGTATGGATGTTGGCATGGCACAGTGGCTCCAGAGCGAGACCACATTCACTGCAAGTTTTTGAAGGCATGAACTCCGATCCTTGTTCTTGTAACATATAAACACCATTATCATTGGTCTATGAATCTGGATCATCTATGCATAACTCAAAGGTTCATTCTAGTCCTATGCTCTGCTAAAGGACTCACCTTTATCTGCTGGAAACATGGTACACAAGGATCAGGACTGAGGTACACTGTAGGAGTTATGAATAAAGAAATACCAGATATCATCACAGTAATGGGACATTTTGTGTATGTATGCAAACTCACTATGCAATGGGTTAAAAGTCTTGCCAAAACTCCAAAATGTTTTTGCTACGTGGTTAACACCTTTACTGTTTACTCTGATTGTTACAGGTGTTAGGTGAACTTCAAGGTGGTCTTAACTTTCCCCATACAGTTGATACAACAAAACTGAAAATCAATTGTTACAGTTTTTATGTTGGAAAAACTTTGAGCTGTGACGTAATAACTGTGAGAATATGAACATGTCATTTTTCTAGCCCTCCCTTAGCTAGATAGTCTTTGAGCTTTACAAGCCATGAGGAATTTTATTCACTTTCTGTACAGAAGCTGAGGAGCAAATCGTCACTGAGCAAAACAACTTGCATAATCCTGCTGCCTCACTGCCCACAGCTTCTGAGATGAGCCATTCACAATGAACAGCAGCTGTTTGCAAGGTTTACTTATTTTCTAGAACTACTTCTGCTAACTCTAAAATGTCTCAGTCATGAGCAATCTTTTATGTTTGTTTACTTCTCTCCGGCTCTCTGTGCCCACATACACTGTATTTTAACCCTATTCAGGACTTTTGGGGTCTTTTGGACCCCAGGCCATTTGGTTTAGGTGACAGGCATTGGTTTTTAATTTTTTAAGATTTTTTCAAAAGATAAAATGAGGGGCATTTGTCGTGCACTTGGAACCAAAAATACGTCAATTTATCAGAAAAAGTATTTAGCATAGTATAAAAGTCAGTAACAAATACCAACAAATATTTTGCACATATTCTTTCTTGGGGTTCAATGGACTCTGAAAAACCTTCTGTATGGCAACATGAAAGTCCTGAAAAGGGTTAATACAGCAGAATTCCCAATAAAGCTGTTCTCAATTACAGATTTCTCTGTTTGTGTTGTGAGACAATGGAATGATTATGAAATAGACAGAGGAACAGAGCCAGTTATGACTTCTTGTCAACTAGCAGGTACGTCAGAGTCAAGTCGCTACTCTTCAACTTTAAATATTGATTTTATAGTTGGAATGTTGTTTGACAAACCAAGTTCATACATGAGGTAAAAGCAACAGCTGTGCTTTTATTTCATGTGAAATGAAAGTTAGAAGCGATGAAAAGTCCCTGTCTCATTCAGTGATGCAAGTCTGTGCCAGCTGCTGTGTGGTCAACTGTTTTGCTTTGTGCTGTCAATCACAGACACAGAGAGAGTCTTCTTCCTGAAGGGAAGCAGCAACTCAGAGGCATTTAAAGCTCCAGAGACCGAAACAGCCTGTGGATGGATGGATGGATGGATGGATGGATGGATGGATGGATGGATGGATTGATTGATTCTGGGGATATGTGAGATTTTCACTGATTTGCTGAAAAAGGGCACAATATGGGCCCTGTAACAAAACAAGTATAGTGGACTGCATTAAACTGCAGCATGATCTTTTATAACCTGACAGATTAGTTTACTGCAACACAGACAAGGGAGTCAACAGCAAGAGTCTCTTTTTATATGATTCAGAAACAATATTCTTCAATCAAGTTAGAAATAAATGACTTGCAGAGAAAGAAATACAGACAGAGACCAAAGCAAAATACAGGGCTTAACTGAGGGGACAAATAACTTTCAGATGCAGCCAAACTAAGAAAACATAGAGAGAAAAATATTTGGAACTTTCTCACCTTCTGATGATATAACTGCCTGTTCTTACTGCATGTGTCACAAGAATGAATGAATAACATGCAATTCAGTGTTGTTTTGATTACGTCACTTTTTGTAGTGTGGTCAGTACAGTAGGTTGGAGATTTCAGCTACAAGCACGTCCAGCACCACTTCTAACCATGACCAACTTTTAGGTGCATGCATTCTCCTAAAGCATGTAGGACAGAATCCAGTGGTTGGTCCATCATAATGTATGTTTAGATTCCAGTGTAGAGTTGCCATTTTCACAGCACATGTGCAAGTTGTGAGCTTTGATCAGCTTTTCACAGTTCCAAAGAAGATTAATACAAGCTTTGGAAGTTCTGGCATTAAAACACACACGCATTCAATGAGAACAGTCTCTTTGGCTGCAGTAGTTTTTAATTTGCTTGTGATTATATGAGACGAACGAGGCGTGCAGTGGGAGCAGGCCTCAAATCAGACATCCAAATGTGCTTGGATGACTGATTGTTAGAAACGACTGCCTGCTTTCTCATTATGGAGGTTTTGAAATGCTTTGTGTACTTGAATAACAAACAGTAGTTTGTTTTCATCCTGAGAGAACTTCCAACCGCTTTGCCCTCGTTTGAAAAGTAAGCAGCCTACATTAAAGAGACCTTTCATTGCTTTTCAACCTTTTTATCCGATCAGTAACATTTTATTGAGCAGATTTTGGAGTTTAATGGGAAGTTTGCTAGAATCTTTTGGGACAAGTGGCACAAGTGTTGACCATTCACTGCTTGACTCATTCCACTTCTGGTCTGTTATTCATTTATGTAACAGAATGTGGAAGGCCAAAATATTCTCCAAAGTTCTCACTGAATTGATAGAAAACACCATGATTTCTTTTTCTAGATATTTTTTTGGCCTTTATTACATAGATAAAGACAGACAGGACATGTAGGGTGGGTATTACATGGAGACAATCTGGCCAGGAGTCACACTCACCTGGTAAGGGCATTTTTCACCAATCGGTTGCACCAAAACAGCATGATGTGTGTAAAAGTAAAGCTTCTTACAAACCCCATGAATGCCATTGTGCTTGAAAACCCAGTCGTAAAATGTCAAAGTCACGTTGATGTATGAGGTTAGAAAAAGCAGTCAGTAGGCCAAAAAGTTGGCAAATTGGTTCTCTGGTGTAGAAGAAAAACAAAAATGTGTAAAATGACCACATGCTGTGTTTTTCTTATATCTCTCAGGTAATCAGATATGTTGAATTTGAGGTATGGACGCTTTCCATGCACGAGAAGTGTGTCCAAGATGGTCTCTAAGAATGGTATGTGAAGAGTAGAGTAACAGACTGCGACCAATTGAATCCAGGCGCCTATTCCCAGTACGTATTGACGGCGTGATGGACGTCCACCGACAAATGAGAGAAACATTTGGCTGTTTTCTCCCCCAACCCCCCGTCACCACTTAGACAAGTAAGGTAAAAACACTGTTTTTGTATAAAGGAATGTAATACCGAGAACAATCGCAGGGCTTTGAAGTATGCGGAGAAGAAAAATGTGGGGTACAAGAATGACAAGTACAATCATTTATAACATAGACATATGGAACCAATTGGACCTGCTTTAACCTACTGTTCTCTGTGTGTTTTTTTTCTGGTCAAAAACAGAGGAGAAGAAGTGTTTGCGTCAAGTGTTATGCAAGTCAGCTCTGGCTGTTTTATGCCCTTTTTGTCAGATTTTCCGAAAGCCTGATTCACAGCTCCGAGAGGTGCAGCTGAATTTATTCTTCTTCATAACTGGCGTCTGGGTAAAGCAGCTGCCAGAGATTGTTTTCACATTTTTCCACACATAATTTCTCCTGCTCTTTAGATTTTTTCCACGAGCAGCCTCCCAAACCTCAGGTTCAGGTTTTTGCTCGCAAACACTTGCGTGGAGGACGATCACCGGGATGCAAAAGAAGAAGTGGTTGTCTTGTAGAGGTGATAATTGGACAGAATAAGGCAAAGAGTGTTTTATTTTAGCACTTTTGTGGTTCAGTGTTTGTGCTCCGTGTTGCACCTGCTCTGGGTTAGTAGACAGCAGTTTTTGGATGATGCTCCAACAGACATTCATATTGATGACATCTTCAATTTATGTGACGCCCTGACTCCAGTTTTTTGAAGAAGCCTCCCATCCTCCCCCCCTCCTCTCCTTTCCCTCCCCTTTTCCCTCTGTGTCTCTCCATCTACCCCTCTCTCTCCTCCCCCTCTCTCCTTCTTTCTCTCTGTGTTTTTCTCCAGAGACTTCCAGTTTTTGAACACCACACTGTTCTTACCTACTGGCCCTCCATCCCACACGCACGAGAAGCGAGAAGCACAGGTAAGCTTCAGTTTGAATGCATGGATTTGTGATTTCCTGTTTGATTATTCCTACTTTATTTCTTCTTTCCGGATGGGCTTAGCAATTGTCCCTACTGCTGGGCTTTTGGGCATGGGCTGGTGCTGCAGCAGAGAAAGCAAAAAATACCTGTGCATGGAACAAAAGAAGAGTGGTAGAAGTTTAGTGGTTTCAAGCATTGATCTGACATGTTTATATGGATCTGCAGTACATTTTTATGGCTGTTTCACAGATTTTGGTGACTTTAGACTTTGGAAAGTAATCTCTTGCTCTTGGATGCAGTATCAGTCTACATTTTTCATGAGTCTGGAATTAATCATTGTGGCTTTGCAATGCCTGCAGACCTGATTCTGTACAGCCTACTGCTACTGCTACTAGGTTAGGTTTCAGATGCAGTTGTATGTGTTTAACTCATTGTTTATAAAGCTACAAGGATTTTTTAAAAATCACTTTTTAAATGTGTCATGCATGAAACATATCTTGGAAAAAGTTCATGCATGCATTTATTTTTGCATTGTGTTATTGCATCAATGTCCTTTTTACCTGAACTCTATCGAACAGTTTGGTTCAAGCTGCAGCTGCATTGATATTACAAACACAAATAAGTGAATCGAGAAACATAAGACTCATTGGTCTCCAGTTGTTGACATGAACTCTTGGCTGGTTATGTAATACACGGGGGAGTGGGTGTGGCAGTAGGCCATTGTGTGTGTGTTGGTTGGTAAGTTTAACATCACAGTTTCTTTTATTTCTCTACAGATTTTAATCAATAAATGCTTGATTTCACTGAACATGAGCCACAACTGATAAGCAAATCTTTTCTACCAGAGTTTATTTTTGGTTGCTCTTAACTAATTTCACCTTTATAATCTTACTCTCTGCTTCCCCTTCCCTTCTGTCTCTTGGATCCACAGAAGCCATGTTTCCTCTCCGTGTACCGATCTTGGCTGTACTGGTCAGCCTGGCCCTGTGCCAGGAGTATGATTACGACCCTGGTTCAGTGCTGGGGCCATCAGGGCCCAACTGTGATCGTGAATGTGAGTGCCCGATCAATTTCCCCAGCGCCATGTATTGTGACAGTCGCAAGCTCAAGTTTGTGCCCGTAGTCCCAACAGGGATCAAGTACCTGTATCTCCAGAACAACCTAATTGAAGAGATCAAGGCAGGAGTGTTTGATAATGTAACTTCTGAACTGCGCTGGCTGGTACTTGACAACAACCAGATCACCAGTGCCAAGGTAGCGAAAGGCACAATTGACAAACTCACAGCCCTGGAGAAGCTCTTGTTCAGTTTCAACAACCTTACAGAGCCAATCATCCCTCCATCAAAGTCCCTCGAAGAGCTGAAGATGACGAACAACAAGCTGACCAAGTTCCCCTCAGGACTCCTGAACGACAAGGAGAATTTGACCTCCATCAACATTCAGTTCAATGAACTGACCTCTGATGCCATCTCAGGGGCTTTCAAAGGGCCAAAGAAGCTGCTGTCTCTCGATGTGAGCCACAATAAGCTGAAGAAGTTGCCCGCCGGTATCCCCAGTTCACTGGAAATCCTCTATGCTGACTACAACAACATTGACAGTGTTGGAGCAGGATACCTGAACAAGCTTCCCAACCTACAGTACCTGAGAATCTCCCACAACAAGCTGGTGGACACTGGAATCCCTGCAGGAGTGTTCAATGTGACATCACTGGTGGAGCTGGACCTCTCTTTCAATAAACTGCAGTCCATCCCTGAGATCAATGAGCAGCTGGAGCAATTCTACCTGCAGGCCAACGAGATCAACAGTGAGTGGCAATCTTTATTTCATTTTGAAATGTCCTATTTGACTGCTTTCCTAAATGTGTCCTTTGGAGCTCTTCTATATTCAAAAATGCATGAAAGTAAGATTGTCTTTGCTTTCATTCATGTGACATAAGGTTATGCAAGTTAAGAGAGAGATGTTGATCAAATCATCCAGATGTGACTGGGTAGCAGGAAAGTGGGCGTGGCTTTGCAAATATGCAACATGATCCTCTAGAAGTCTAATTAGCAACATGGAGTTTCATACTACAGGACTGTGGGCTTCCACCCTCACGTCTTTCATCCACATTGTTAGATGAGTAGGAGGGGAACGAGGATAAATAAAGGAAATTGTACTTCACCCACATTCGTTGAAAATGTAAACAACTGAAATCTAAAACTCACCTCCTACTAAGGTCCACACTGGCTCAAGTGTGGTTTTATGTGATGGGCAGGGTGTTCCTTTTTTCTTGTGCATCTTTTAAGTCTACCCAACAGTCAACTGACTTTAATTTGCAGGAACATTGCTGCACTTCATCACCACAGACTGCTAACCACATAAACGTAAAGAATGCAAAATAGTAACCTACTCGTAAAAAAAATTGCTCATTAGCACTACTAGTGGTCAAAAAGCTCCACAGGGTACCTTTAAATCTCAGCACAAGGGGTTTAGAAGTTATATAATGTATTTTGGAAGTGTTTTGTTGTCTGCCAACTGCCATTGTGTTTTTTTAATCATCCGTAGAGTTTGACCTGGCAAGTTTCTGCAAGTTCATCGGACCCCTCAACTATTCACGCCTGAAGCATCTGCGTCTGGATGCCAACAACATCACGCACAGCAGCATGCCCCCTGATTCATCCAACTGCCTGCGCCAGGCTTCGGACATCATGTTTGAATAAGGACCTCCTTCAGTTCTATGGCCTCTCTATGACCCACCTCTCTATGACTAAGCTCAGCCGAAAGCCTTCTGGATTTAAAAGTCGTAATATCATGCCTTTCATAATACTGATATGTCCTTGCACTTCTCACATAAATGTTATTATCATGTTGATCAGTTAAGTGTGGCTTGAGCAAGTATAAAGCTGGGCAAATTTGGGATGCAATAGAAGGCATGACAAACTATCAACTATATTGCCAAGTTTTTCCTAACATAACTTCCAAAATATGACATCAGATGATTAAATTCATCCATTTCGCATTTAAAATATTTGGTTCTTAATATTTGGAGGTATAAATGAAGTGTAATTGTTAAAGAAGCCTAATAATCAAGAGTACTATGAATAAAAATGTATTCATATGCTTCGATTAAGACACACACTTTAAACATTCCAAACTTCCATTTGAGTGTCTTGAATAGACATAGTGGAGTAAACAATAACCAAGGTTCTCCAATGTCTTAATTCAGTTGTAGTGTCATTTTATTGTCTTGTCTTGTATGTTGCAGTGTCTAGCATGTATAATATAATCAGGGTACAATTATTAATCCATTGCTGTGCAAAGGACCAGCATTTAAGGACTACGTACTCAGATTTCAGTGTGTAATGTAAGACATTATCATCAAATGTAAAATAGCAGTTACATAGCAGACACATTTTCAACACATTAAATAAATCAGAGTGGTTTTAGTGTTTTGAACTCACGTCTGCAGTTGTCAGCCTACTTCAAATTCAGTTGATGCATGACGTTACAATGATTGGCTACTTCAATAAATGAACAATAAATAACTTAGAATCACTCTTGTCTCCTCAGAAATAACTTTCCAGTTCTTCAATGCAGTAACTTTGAACCCAAAAGACATGGCTACTTTGGATTGGGATTACTTTCCCTGTTCAGTTAGACCATTGAGATGAAAAGACGATGTTTTCTAGAAATCGTGAGTCACATTGTTTCTATATGTTACCTATTTCCTAGCTGTCCGCTGTCATGCACAATGCTGATGTGTATACAACATTTCCATGACTTGCATGCGCCCAATGGTGCCATTCTTTGATAATAAACTACAGCTTGTTGCAGTTAAGGTTCTTTCATTGTTACGCTGTTGTTTACCATGAATGATAAATACTTCTTACCAGCATTACATCAACTTGGCGCCATTGTCATGTTGATTGAATGGTGTATCTATGTCATTTTGTGTGGGTAATTTTTCATTTCATCCTGACTTCTTTTGAGGCTTTTGATTCAGTAATTGATCTTGGATTTACTGTGAGAAAACCAAACACAGTTGAATAAACTATGTTTCCAACATATTTGTAGGACATCAGTTTTTAAGCTTGTATAATTCTTTTCTGGGGGTTATGAAAACATATTGATAAAACATGCAGAAAATCTTGTTAAAACAGCTTATTTAATAGGATTTGTGACTATTGGCTTAATAGTGGCTGGTAGATCCTTCATTCATGAGAAGACAGATTGCAATAAGAAACCATTAAGCTGGTGTGTTTACACCCTTAGGTACAACTTATAAAGCTTTTATAAAATACACAATTTTAAGTGATCGTCCAATAAATGAAGCAAGTGAAGCAATTAAAATGTGATCAAAAGGGTTTGATACGTCTTCAGCAGTAAAAAACAGTGATATCATCTGGCGAGCCCACAGCCATTTAAACCCATTTGAGGGCTATGCATGTACTCATAGAGCTAGTTACATCCATTAACTACTATTTTTCTGGTATAACTTTTTTTTTTGGCGAATCATTTCTCCATGGACACCCCCCATTCAATCACATACAACCAAGCAGCCCTAACAACCAGAAAATGTTTACACAGCAGTTGTAGCAGATTTTACATTATAATCGCTGAACAGTAGCTGAAGGGTGTATGATTTAGGTTTAGCTGTGGATTTAGGTGAAGCTCTTCTACAGACTCTTAAAGGCTGCAATGATGAAACCTACATTGAAGAGCTTTGGAAAAAACTGCTGAGCATAGCAAGAGCCAAACAGGTAGGAAACAAGAGGCTGGATGGACACAGTGTCATGTCTCAACTAGGTGTGTGTCCCGAGCATACCTGTCTTACATGTACTACCCCTACGTACCTTACCATGTTGTTATCTTATAAGCGTTATCACAGTTGAAAAAGCATACTTCTAGCAACTATTCCAGATTTTAAATCAACCAAGGGTATATAAAAAAGCTTATTATACATTATATGAGTTCTCATGTACTTCTTAATAACAGCCTTGAGTGCAAATGCAAATGATAAGAGTGAGTAACCAAAACAATGACTATTTGGCCTACAATAAAATTGCCTTTTACAAGACACTGTGACGCCTGGATGTGAGTAATGGTCTCAGTCTGTCAACCACTATAAAAACTGCCATGTATGGTAAATTAACTTTAAAAGCATCAGGGACATTACACACCCTTGTCTACACCCCTAAAGTGACAAACTGTGCCCGAGTTATATGTGAAATCAAAAATAACCCTGTAACATATTTCCTGTCTCCAGACATTGATGTCCCTATACAATTCAGCTCCTATTTATGTTTGTAAAGAAATCTGTTTTGTCCTGGTAAGGCAACAGTATGGCATAGTAGGAACCGTCTCCACTTTAAAGAGCCACAAAGTCTGAGTTGGGACACCGGAGGAGCTGTCGAGACCAACACAGGACATCAACCCATGTGGAAGCATTATTTTTTAGACTTAAGTGTGGTTTTAATTTGCTGTTTGGTTAGGTTTTGGAAAACATCATGGTTTGACTTAAAATATGTCCCTGTCACAACATGGTTGAAGCTTCTTCTCCATTTTTTGGGTTATCAGGGTGACAAGTCCCGCCCCGTCTGGGTTGACTGAAAATGACTGATATCTGGCAAGCAATACAACAAATGGCAAAACTATGTTGAATAGAAATAAATTTGTGATATGTAACAAACAACAATAATCTGGAGAAAATACATCTCCCTCAAAAACATTCTGGAGATTGCAGTCTATTTGTATGGGAACCTAATTTTTGGGAGACAGTGCTTTATATAGATAATCGTGTCCCTATGTTTTATCAGACTTTACTTAAGCATTACATTAAGAAGTGCTTAAGTCCGAAATCATGAAGTATGCTGTGTTTTTTTATGGGTGTTTGAGTGGAAAGACCCCACCTCCATCTCTTGCCTGAATCTTTGAGGCCATTTTGTTTGGCAAGATATACAAATGCAAAAGATGGATAGAAGATCCCTTTATTTATTCTCCACGGCCTGTTTCAGATGTACTATTTACTTTCATAGCTAAACTGTTGTCAAAGCACTCTGCATTGTGGTCCTCATCTATATCTTGTTTTCCCTTTGTGCATCTCAACTCACGACCATCATCTACTTTTCAAAGTAGCAGTGCGGTCAAACAGAACCTGCTGGTCCTGGGGGTATGCAGGGGTATGCAGGGATTTGCTTAATACCACAGCAAACATAGAAGGTATTTTCGGTGTAAATCTACCCTTCCAACCGTCTTGGATGGAAACTACAAATGGCCCATTTGAAAAAGACTCCCTGTAGAGCTTCAAAACAAACCGTGAATGCCTCCCTAAGAACAGACGTGTCAGTCTTGCTGCACTGTTCCCAGTAGGGTAAATTTAAGTTAATTTGGGTTCATTGTGTAATTATTATCATTAGGAAAGTATTGATTACATTATTCTCTCCACGGTTATAAAAATAAAGAGAGACAGAAATTCTAGAGAGTGCTGTTCAGGTTGGTTGAGGTGCTTCCAGTCGGGTAGTGATTGAAGAAGCATGAAAAGTGTAACGGTGTGGCAGAGGGAAAGGAATCCATAAAACCAACTCTTTCCATTTCAGAATGCAAAATAAATCTTTGGCTTCAATAACCTTTTTATTCATTAGTACATGAGTCTTGCTTGTGGAGTGGAGAAAACACTACTGTCCTGGATTTTGTTACTAGCCTGCATCTGTGTTTTGTATCAAATGCATCATTTAATTACTTCACCTTTGGAAATCCTCTCACTGTCAGGTTCAACTGTAGCCCAAAGAAGCTGCTTATGCTGTCATCTCACGTTGTGCCATGTACTCGTGGTGGCCTCTTCCCTGCACCAAACTGTGTCTACATCACCACAAAAACAGTCTGGACAGTGTTGGAGCCTAAAATGTCTGCTTTTCATTATCTGTTCGTGTTTTCCAAAAGAATTACTATTGTCCATAAAGTTTTGGAAGCCACAGCACAGTAGAAGTCCCAAAATGCACAACATATGATTTTATCCAGGAAAATTTACTACTGGATGGATTACTAAGACTGTTTTTCTGCAGACATTCATGGTTCCCAGATGATTACTCATAATGACTTTGGTGATCCCTCAACCTTTCCTGTTTGTGTTTTACTGAAAATTGTCAACAGCTACTGGATGCATTGCCTTCAAATGTGGCACCGACCTCTATGGTACCCAGAGAATGAAGTGTAAAGACTATAAAATTACCTTGTTTTTCATTTAAGGCCACCAGAAAATCAAGATTCTCACTTATACAGTGAAATATCTACTACTACATTTGGTACAGACATTCATGAGTCCCAGAGGATGAATCCTAAACACTTTGGCAATGCCCTAATTTTTTAACACCATGTGGTGATGTTTTATGTTTCAAGTTAATTTTTGATGACTATCTGATGGTTTGCCATCTATATTTAGTAGAGACATTCATGTCCTCATCTCTTGCCCAGTGGCAGCCAGAATAGGATCCAGCCCTCCAGGTTCCTCTATAAGTTAAAGCATGTATAACAAATAGATAGATGGATAGATGGACATTCATGTTCCCTCATCACACACCATACACAGTATACACATACATCATATATACCAGTCACAAATAGTCATTCATTGTTTGCTGCTGCTGAGTCAAGACATGAATAGCACCTCTGCTTTAAATGGTCAAGTGAATCTTTGTGCATATCCAGTAGATCTTCTGAACATGACTATATACGATTAGTAAAATGGTTATCAATATAGATGCTAAATATGAGAGTTATCATACTGAGCATGTTAGGGTTGAGGTTAGCTTTAAGGTCAAAGCATTGTTGTGCAATAAGTGGAACTTCCTGGAGTGCTTACCTTGGCTGTAGAGATCTTCAAATGACTAAATGATTTACAATAATGCATCTTCAAATGTTTCAGAATTCTCATCTCTTCATGCTAGTATATGGTAACGGACAACAAAATAGCTACAGATATAATCCAGCCATCATCTATACACAGCTTAATCCTCACGAGGGTTGAGGGAGGCTGGAGTCTATCCCAGCTGACTTAGGGTGAAGGCAGGGGACACCCTGGACAGGTCACCAGTCTATCACAGGGCTACATATAGAGACAGACAACCAAGCACACTCACATTCACACCTACGGACAATTTAGAATCACCAATTAACCTCAACATGTTTTTGGACTGTGTGGGAGGAAGCCGGAGAACCCGGAGAGAACCCACGCTGCACGGGGAGAACATACAAACTCATAACACATTGTGAATAATATGTTAGGAGCCATTTCATAGACATTGTTTTTGGGCATGTACTTGGTACCCACCTGTCACTACTTTTAACACTATCAATAGCAAAAGCTAAGCTGCAAAGCAGAACACTAACTGTGACAACGGCACTAATCCTGGCTGATATCTGCCATATGTGCTAGAACCACTCGTTTCTTCTTAGAGTATTCGTTTCTTACAGTTTCCTATTAGATCAGACACTATTTAAAGACAGTAGGTTAGCTGATTATACGTGGCGTTTGTAGTTATTATGTAAATTGATTCCAGATGTCCCATTTGATTCCTGCTAGGTGTTGGAAATTAGATGCAGCTGTAAAAGTCTGTTAGACTGAAAATTTGACCCACTTTTGAAAACGAAAGTCAGTAGTTCTGTCTGTCATTAGATGCTGCAAAGAAACCACTTCCCTCTGCTATCCAACACTGGAATCATTTAAAGGCCTGTTTTAACTGTTATTGCTCAAGTAAACCTGATACAAGTCAGGAGGTAAAAGAATTAGCCGCCTGCTCACTGCCACCACCGTTACAACCCGTAACATGTTTGCTTTAGCAGCTTTTTTCACATTTCACATGTTTTTATATAGTCATTTGTACCGAGTCCAAATCTAGGACAATTTCCTCCTCTTCCTCCTGTGTCGCCCTTATTTAAATCCTGAGTAGAGCTCCTGCTGCCTGTGTCTAGACAATAAAGTCCTTTATAAAGCCTTAAGCCTCACATCTTCCCGCTTGAGACGGTAAGTGAAAGTATAATCAGCTGTTGCAGCCTGGCAGCCCAACTCCCA